TTATTCACGTTTTTATATAAATGTGTGAGACTCGTCGGGTTAAAAAATAATTGTATGATTTTACGCAAAAAACAATTTTGCTGAAGTTTCGAAAAATTTAGCTAAATACAGATCTGAAAACAATTCTGTTGGAATTTATCAAATAATTATGTAAGAAATTCAAACAGTGAGCAATGTTACAAAAACTTTTCTAACTATTCTAGCAACCAGTTTAAGCGTCTTACGTAATTATTTTGATAGTTTAACAAAAATAGCTTTGTTAGATTTATTTATTTATAAGATCCACCAAAATTATTTTCAGATCTGTATTTAGCTAAATTTTTAAATATTTCAGCAAAATTGTTTTTTTGTGTAAAACCTACAATTATTTTTTTATTTGTTAGATACTTCAGCAAAGCCATTCTTTCCGTGCAATAGTCATATTGAGAAGAACAAAGAGATTATCGTTGTAACAGATTGAAGCAAACCACTGTGTTCAATCTTCTAAACATTTAACACAAAACCGCTGCCACATGTAATCGCGTCGACATATACTTCCGGTCGTAAATGAAATATCCCTCAGTGCCTGCGGGATGCGGAAATATTTTCAGCATATGTAATAGCGCTTTTAGCTCCCTCGTGAATCCGGCAATCGATATACTCCGGTAGCTCTCGCAAAGTTCAGTTGAACCGGAGATTGGAAAGTTCCGCACTAAATTTCGCTCAAAATGCGGTCGGTTTCGTTTCCCTGTTGGACACCGCCGTCCATTCATGCTTGGACGATCCTCGCTAAGCCATTGAGTCTTTGACGTCATGTGTAAGATGCTGTTAGGAGATTATGGTCGAAAGAGAAGTTCTAAGGGTATACGTGGGACACATAAGACGCTATCACCGTTCCATTCTTCATTAGATGGTTAAACAATGCAGATTCATTATCGAATCCGTCGCAAAAGAAAAAAATTAATTGCTTCGCATTCTCGTGATTGTCGGAATCGAATTTACTCGAGCGCAATCAAACACCATTCACGTATCTCCTCTTTCCCATCCGGCGTAATCTCTCGAATAATATCCGAGCCTTTCGTCTCAAGAGAGGAATGCGAAGCGAATCTTTAAACGCAATTGTCCGTGTGTTTAATATCAAATGTGACTATTTTCAATTCTAATTTCAATTTATTTTTCAATTTATTTCAAACAAGGTGTAAAATGAAAGTTTTTCTTCGAAAAATATCTTTGAAAATTAATAAAGGAAAAGTATATTTGACAATATACGTTGCAGTTTCATATCCAATCAGGATTCAATTCTAAACCTATATTTTATAATTAAATAATGTTTGTCTTGTACGATTACACATATATTTTATGATTTTCGAAAAATCAATACTTTTCCGCGGCAACACACGACTGTGCCGGCATACGAGTGACGTAACGCCTGACGCAAACGACAATCGTTGCGGCCGCGATACCGCAGAGCCTCTCTAGGCGAATGTCGATAATACAACGGACGTCATGAATGCATTTACCTTCCTTAGATCAGCATTTATTAAACGAATACGTCATATACTTAATACAGTGATATTTGAGCAGTAAATATAAGTCATTGTCTTTATTACAAAAATTAAAATATTATTTTCTTATACATAATATTAAAATTTATTTAAAAATAAGAGATAAAAGAAAAATAATAACAGCACGATATAATACATTAATGAAAAATATTTAAAGTGAAATTATTATAGGTCCTTTTATGTTATAAAATTTGGAGGATAATGAGGGAAAAGTATTTGTGACTATATTGCACGGTAAAATAATTACGGTTAACTTACAGAAATCCAATTTAATTTAATACTGACTAATTTAATATTGGAAGTTATGTATTTTAAAAGCATTGTTGTTCGATGCTTTTAATACTGAAAATAAACAACTCCCAATATTAAATTAGCCAGTATTAAATTGGAATGTAAGAGTTAACCGTAATTATTACTTACTTTGAGTGTCAAAACAACAGTGCTTTTAATAACCCAGATAATTATGGTTAACTTTTACAGAAATATAATTTGATCCTGCCTAATTTAATATTTAAAATTACTAATTTTGAGTATTAAAAGCACTGTTCAGTGCTTTTAATACTCCAAATAAGTTATTAACTATTACCTTCCAATATTAAATTTCCGTAGGGAAGAGTTCCAATTTTATAATTATTATCGTTATAATAATCATATTTCTAGTTTTGCTAAAAAATATATAATTGGTACTAAAAATGATCACAAATTATAGTTAAATAATAATAATTTTTTTCATAAATAACATTCAACCGTATTAAAATTGCGAAATGATCAATTTTAGAGAGACATGCAGAAAAAAAACAGCAACAAATAAATAAATAGCAAAAGATGTACAAATGTCAAATGCTAAATGGCTTTTTTTATTGTCGAACAAGACCTTTCTGTTCCATCAATCGAAGCTAACGTTGCAACAGGAAATACGATACGTTTTCGTGGACGCAGTTTTACGTACGGTGACCCAACGGGGATCGCGTTACAGTCGGATTGTGAAATTCATGAAATCTCGTACCGTCGCCACGGCCATCGCCGATTAATCTCCGCTTCGATCGTCGCTCTCTGCCCTTTCGATGTTCCTTCGACCCCGTTCCGCCAACGCGGCAACGTGCCATGAAAATGGTTTGTGATTACCGTGGCGGCAGGCATTCGCGCTGACGAGGCGAATATATATTCTGTCTTCCGTCCGCATTATCCTTAACTCGCGCGAAATTCATTTCGCCACTCGTCTCGGATAAATAACTATCGTTGTAAGAAAAGTAGGTAACTACCGGAAAGATGTTCGAATTTTTCTTTTGTGTATCCCACTGAACAAATCTCTCGAGTCAAAACAAACTTATTTCGATATTCAAAAGATACCATGGATTTTCTTATATCCATTGCCATCAATATAGACTAACTTTACTGAAAAAAAAAAAAAAAAAAATACTTACCAAATCTTAATACATTTTTTTCTAATAGTACTAAGTAAATATTTGCTTACAGTAAATATTTATTCAATAAAAAAATAATAGTTAAATCAAATTTATGATTTTACAAATAATATATGTTTATATTTAAATATTTATTTAGAACTATTCGGACAAATATTTATTAAATTTTTTAAGTTTTATTTATTAAGTTTTTTTTCAGTATTTAATCTCGAGTCAACTTACTCTTCATCTTTTCCTAATTTTTAGAACTAGAAACAGGCACTAAGCTCACTTTCTGTTAAATTTATTATCATTATATTGAATTTTAATTTTAATAATTCATTGATTTTTTATGTTTTAAGTTTTAATACTAAAAGTATCGATACAATTTCGCTCTAATAAGCGGAACTTTAATTAGCGCTCGAAGTAGAATAATGTTCCAACTCGCTCATGTATCATTTCTATTTCGGCAATCCCAGATTGCGCGGATTAAACTTTCAACTCTATTTCAAGCAAAAAGTATTTCCCTAAAATTCCTTAATACATTCCATTTCATTCTCCGAAATTAAACATCTCGATTCTCTCATAAAATTTATTCGATCCCTATCAGATCTTCGCCTCATCGGCGAAGATAACCCTGTTGCCAATAAGCATCAACGAAATGAGCAAAGTTTCTAAGTATAATCAATTGCAAGGGTTCACCCACGCGTCCCAAGTATAAAGGCAAGCTACAAGCTAAAGGCGCCGTGTTTTCTATTTGCACTTCACGATGTTCATTGCGATAACGCATCCGTCTTTTTCCGCCGGTGATATCAGCTGTCCGGAGAAGGAAGCTCGTAAATCCCAAGCGTAAACAACGCCCTAAAACGCGAAACGTGTTGGAGAGGGATAATTCTAGATTCGATTGTATCCCGCTATATATGTAACATTCAAGTAATGAAGTGTGTGTGTGTGTATGTGTGTGGGTGCAACAAGATACCGAGGCCTGTAAACGAGACTTGGAACACATACTCAGTTCTGGAATCGATACCCGCGACAGTTTTCGCGAGTACGAACCTCGCGAAGGACATGAAGTTGAGGAAATCATTCTGTCACATACGGATGATTGCAAGTTCTCTTGATCATTGCTTCACTAAGTGCTTTCCATTTGATGACAAAAGTATCATTCTATCTTCTTTTTAGCATTCAGTGAGTAACAAAGATAGAACGACACTTATGTTACCAAATGGGAAGCACCCACTCTGGAATTTAAATTGTTATATCCAATACTAAAGACTTAGGGCGGGAGTCTTGCATAACGCATAATACATAAGAAGATGAACCAATCAAAGTCCTTCATTTCCTCCCTTTGAAAGACTTTGATTGATTGATTCTCTTATGCTTTATGCATTATGCGTTATGCAACAATCTGTGTTACTGTTCGATGGTACTGTTCATATATATTATGCATCAGATAAAAGACTCATCCTTAGGAACTACAATAAGTTACATTACTGGATCTTGAAAAAAAAATCATTCTGTCGCTTTCTTAAGGAAAACAACAGATCATAATAATATCAAAATGATGTTAAAACAAATCGAAAAGTAATTTTTAATCATTTTAATCATCACTTTGGAGTAATTTTAATGTCACGATTTTTTATTCTGCTTAGAGTTGATCTCTTTGCTGTACAAAGATTCACTCCCGCAATTTTTCCATATTCGTTGAAAATTCCTGAGTGACATTTTGAAATTTTGAGGAAATACGTGCAAATAAATTTCTACTCATGCGTGAATGGTTTTCCCTTCAGCGAAATCGTTCCGGTTCGATGAGACGGGACTCGCGAAGTGCGATGGAAATCTCATCCAATATATTCATATAAAGTAATTCTCAGAAATCACCTTGCGTTTTTTTCGAAAAGAGATACGGAGGTTTCCGCTTGCTGCATGTAATGATACTGCGCCAGATAATGATCAGTATTATTATTGAGTACGCGTATCAAGTATATACACAACGCAAATCAGATTTTCCTTTGACGTCGATAGCAGATACGATATAGATTTACGCGCGCGTTTCAACTCGCAATGCCACCCGCGCGCGACACGACGAGCCCTCGAGGTACATACGTCAGCCCCCGCAAAAAAGTGGAGTAAATAAGCACGAAAATAAATTTGACGCAGAACAACGAACGTCATTTTGTAATCTGTTGAAAACGAGAGGAAGAAAGTAAAACGCAGATTCAAAACACAGCCATAAAATAATTAGCGATAATTGTTTTCGCTTTAAGAATTTAATTTAGACGCTATATTAACAGTATGAAAATACATGATTCAATTGCTTCGATCTTGTTTTTCTATTAGCATCTTTGATTTCGTTAGATATAGTCTCAATTTATTTATTAATTTTATCAAATGTGGGCAAAAGTTCTTGCAGTTTATTCGAGGAGCAATTTTTAAACATGCTTGTACCATTGTTCATGTATGCAGCGCCATAGGCGTAGCCCCAAGAAGGGCAGGGGGATCCATCCATAAATCTTAAAAAACAAAAATAATTACACAATCTGTAACTATACTTAATGAATATTTACCAAAAATCAATTTTAGAAAAAAAGAAAGAATTGGAGATGAAATTATACAATTTTCTAGGAATCTCCAAGACAGCTAGTTAAAAATTTAAGTTTTTTCAAGTCGAAGAATCCGTTTACAACTTTAAGAAAAAAATTAAGTAAATTAGTAAATTAAATGTGTAATAATTTTTATCTGCTATTAATTAATTAAAAATATAATAATATAAAATAAAACAAGTCCAATAGTCCATACGACTACTCTCTGTCTCTTCTCCATCGAACTTAAAAGTCTCGACTTTAATTTAGCCCTCTAAACTTAGTTAATCCCTCTAAACTTAAATCTAATTTTTGATCTAATTAGATTTAAGTTTGAAAATCAAATACCATATAAAACACGCTATACATTGACAACCATGAACATAGCTAAGATTTTGTTTAGAGGGATTAAAGTCGAGATTTTTAAGCTCGGAGGAGAAGAGAGGGAGAGTAATCGAATGGACTATTGGATTTGTTTTGTTTTATATTATTATATT